ATAACAGCAAAACTATCTTGAATAAATATCGAAAGCCTGTTGCTGAAGGCAGCTCGGACAAAAGTAGCATCATTTGCTAAACGCATAGATAACGTATCTGGACTGTTCTCTTCATCATCGAACCATCCAACTTCGTTATGCAGCATCGCTGTAACACAAGGGAAATTGCTGAAGTGAGGCAAGTAAAAGTAGTTAAAATGTGGTCAAGTAAATTATGATGAATATAAGTTCCAGTACCTGAGAACATCATCCTCCGCACTCTCTCAGTCATTTTCTCACCCATTATACCAAAGTAGAAGTGTTGCAAGAAATTGGCAACAACTGTCACTATCCCCATGCAGGCAATGATCAAACACCATTTGTCAACCTCCTCGCGCAGGTGGCCTCCTTTGCTCTTATAATATGATGTCACTACCAACGCAATGACATAAGCCAGAAGAGGATTGAAAGAGCCAAAGATGGCAGCACCAACACTCCCCAATACAGCATAAAGCCACTCTGGCAAACTAAGCTGTGCTAGCCTCCAAAACGAAGGCGACGCCTTGTGCTGAGCATCCTTAGCCAACTTACCATTTGCTGCAGTGCCATCAGAAGAACTATGAGGACGGCTAAACGTCTGAGAATGAGAACGCTCGTTTTTAGGATCTGATGTCAACAGGGGTGAAACAGGGGACTCTGGATCCGAGCCGTCTGTTTTCTGTAGTGGACTCTTAACGTCAATTTTAGGAAGTTCTGGTAACCTCATCTCGAAACTGTCTTGCCTTTTGATAGTTGGCTCTTTATCAGTATCATCCAGAGGCAAGCCATTTCCTCCCATTTTTTCAGGTGCAGGGCTACAATCATTAGGTGATTCTTCAGTATTAAAACACAGTTCCTGGGGACGGAACACGCCATTACCTCTTTGAAGAGATGGAGACTTGATCATTTTGGGTGATGATGGTTCTTGGACGCCACAACCAGCTGAAGAGTCCCTCTCAACCTGAAACACCGCAGACTCCTTGTAGTTCCTAACTGGCATCCTGTATGAACATACAAGTTCCTTAAGCAAATGGCCAAACATATATTCTGCCACATAACTTTCACTACACGACTAACTGGTAAAGTTCTAAGCTACCATACCTTCTCGGAAGCTTCGTTGCTTCTTCACACTTCAGCAGCTCAGCATACAGCCCACCAAGAGTTATCAGCTCATCGTGTGTACCCATTTCAACAAGCTGACCCTCCTCCATGACGGCAATATAGTCAGCATTTTTTATCAAACTTAACCGTCGGGCTATTATTATGGTTGACCGTCCCAACATTAGAAGATCAAGAGCTTCCTGAACAATTCTTTCAGCTTCAAAGTCTAGTCCTCCAGTTACCTCATCAAGCAGAAGAATCGTTGGATTCAAAAGCACAGCTCTTGCAATAGAAAGTTTTATTTTCTGCTCCTCTGTCATTTCCAAACCGGCTCTCCCGACCTAGAAGACAAACAAGGCATTTCCCACTTCAAGGTTGAATACCAAGTGATGAAAACTGGATTTCATAATAAACTTTCAAATATTGTCTACCTGAGTTTCATATCCTTTTTCAAGTGAGCTGATAAATGTGTGTGCATGCGCAATTTTAGCTGCCTCCTCTATCTGATCAAGAGTAGCATCACGACCATATGCAATATTCTCCATTATGCTCAAGCCTAGCAGAGCAGGCTCCTGAGTAACCAGGCCTATTTGGCTTCTCAGCCACTCCAGTTTTAGATTTTTAATATTTTCTCCATCAAGAAGAACTTCTCCTGCATTAAGCAAAAACCACAGATGTAGTCAGCTCATAATTGCCTCTATCAACAGGTGACTGATGCATCTTAAATCTCAAGGCATAGTACCTAATGTCGGATCATAAAATCGCTCCATTAGAGGAATGATGCTGCTTTTTCCAGAACCATTTCTACCAACAAGTGCAACTGTTTTTTTAGCAGGAACCGTGAGGTAAAATCCACTTAAGATTGGAATTTCAGGTCGTGACAAATAGCTAAAATACACATTCCTGAACTCAATATTTCCTTGAACAGAAGCCAGCACAGCTCCTTCTTCATTAGCCACAGAGGATGAACGAGTAATCATCTCAAAAAGTCTATACGCAGCAATCCTTCCTTGATCAAATGAATAGAAGTTCGTAGCAGCTTGATTTAAACCCCTGCCCAACAAAATATGCATAATCAAGACATATTTTATATATACATATACATATGTATTAGAGAGACCAAGAAGAATATCTACGTAACAGAGAATGAGAAGATGAGATAAAGACAACATCAGTAGAATCTGAAGCTTACAGGCCACTTAAAATGATTGCAAAAAGAGCTGCTATGATTTCCCCACCAGTTGCTCTTCCACTGGTAACAAAGAATCTTCCAATCCAAAGTTGCAGCGCACACGAGCATATAGCAAGCCCATAAGTAAATCCAAGTCCAAGGCCTTGCACAAGACTAATCAGTATACCGTATCTCAGGGTTGCTTGAAGGGAGGTCGCATATGAATATTTTGCAAGAGTTTCATTTGTAAAGGCATATAAAGTCCTAATGTAAGAGATCGCCTGCACATTTAAGATAAATCCTTTATAAGAGTTGGAATTCTCACACCAGACTCTAACCACCGATACAGTAAACAAATTTCGGAAGAAGCACTAGAAATTGGGACCTGTGACGTACACATTACATAAAACCTTGTATTTATGCTTAGACTAGGTAGTGTGATTGCTGCACATTCCCAGTGATCCAAATTTCAATTCATACATGTTAAGAATTAAAATTGCACCCTAGCATAACAAAAACAAGGATATACTTTGGTCCATATATTGAGATGAAACTGGCAGAGATATAACTGAATCTTGATTGCAGTAAACCTCACTGAATCTAGTGTAGAAATCTTGAAATTCGTGCCTAAGTACAATCTTAACCCTCTTGGATTCTGTCTACTATTTTCGGAACTTCACACAAGAAGATTGATTCAATAAGAGCAAGAAACAAGGAAAGATGTAGAACTTTGTAATCGTGTGAGCATAACTCAACGTTAAATATGCAGGAAACGAAAGTTCAAGGGCAACAACAGAGTGTCTACAACAAAACCGATTCATTTCAAATGTTTTAAAACTTTAGAATCTAGCTTCCATTTCTCATAGTTCAAGAGTTCAGCGATCAAAATTGCCACCAACAAACTTCAAGTTTAAAATTACGGTGAAGAGAAAATCTTGATGCTAATTCCATATTCTACCAATAAAACTTAGCAATCGTAATACCTGTTCAGCAATGCCGGCTGCTTCTGCATATGCATCCTGTATGTTCTCAGCGAGTCTATGCAGAAATATATTCGATATGCCTCCTGCAGCAACGATGAACGGACCAGTGGCTAGTGTAATCAGTGCAATTTCCCAGCAGTTGACAAATCCAATAACAAGCCCACTGATAAACGTAGCCATGTTATGTATATAATTCCCAACCTGCAAAAATTCCACGATCACAAAAGAAGATTAGAGAAATAGCAAAGAAGTATCACTGGATAAGAACAAACATGATCGGAGCTGGACCTACTTTCTCGCTTAAAGCAGACTGAATGAGCAAGACATCGCTGAGCACTTGGCTCACAATATCCCCGTTATTGCCATATGTATCAAAGAAGCTCATATCCTGATTCAATAGCACTTGCACATACTTGGACCTGATCACAGCAGTCTGCCTCTCTCCAGTCAGTATCCAGCAAGACACCTCTATTATATAAGAAACATTTTAGTAACAAGCAAAAATTCAAAAAGTTCGAAATTATAGCAATATAATCAACTCACCAATCCAACCAGAAACGAAAACACCCCCGGCAATGTACACGATAGTCAGCGAAAGCTGCACAAATCAATCAAAAATGATGAATAAAACACTCCCTGAGTACTCAAACCTTCTAATCCAGCAATTACAAACACAATAAAACCGATTTTCACAGCTCATTTTAACATCTGATACCATTCGGAGGAGCTTTAAACTAACCTCGACGAGCCGGTCAAACTGAGAATCAGATCTCTGGTGAGCAGAGTCATTGGGGAAAGCAAGGACCTCAACGATCTTAGCGAAGTAGTGCAAGTAGACGATAAGCGCAGAGCCGTGTGCAGCAGCAGCAACGGAGCCGACGACCATAAGCAACCAATCGAACCGGTCGGCGCAAGCGAAGAGCTGAGAGAAAGGAACAGCTGCGGGAGGTGGCTCGACCTCGTCGGGCTCCTCCATCTCCTCGTCATCCTCCGCCTGCGCCGCCGTGGCCGTGCCGCCGGTCTCGTTAGGGTCGGGATACGGAGACGGCGACTCGGGAGGCTCGGAGACTTCAGAGACTGGGGTTAACGGCTGCATATGAGGCGGAGACCATCCGAACAGACCTCTAGAGATCATCATCTCTGTGGTGGAGTCTCACAAGGAGTTACCTCCTTCCCCTAGATTCCTACTGATTTTGCTTTTTGCTAGATTCAGCGGATCTGCTCAAAGTTCGTAGAGGAAGAAGAAGAATCGCAGCAGAAAATAATTTCCGCCTTTTTTTATTTTTATTTTATTATTCCCAATAATTTAGTTGATATTTTTATGCTTTGTGTGTGCCATTGCAGTGTTTTTTTTTGTCATTTTTTGTTTACCTACTGCTAACGGTCACGACGACTGCGAGTTCTCTAACTAATTTCTGGTAAACAGATTATCAACTCTTTTTTTACTCTTAAAATTTGCTTGTATTTGCTTGAAACAACAAACATTAAAGTGTTCATTGCTGGTTGGATTATTAGAGGTCATTTTGGTACTGCTACATATTGGGGTGATACGAAGATCAAATTGAGAAAACCATTATGTTGTGAAAGTGAAAATAGGTTAAGAAGAGTAGGCAAGTCACAGAGTAAATGAATCTCTCTCACTGGAGAAGAAGAATAACGAACAAGAAAAACAAAAAAGGAAACAAGAAATGGGCTTTTTCAGTAAAAAGTAACCAATAATTTTTGTTTCAAACAGTGATCTTGAAGGAATCAACGACAGTGTGAAGCCTGTCTTTCATCTTCTCCCACCTCCTCTCATTAGCTCCGGTCGTCAATGTGTAGAATTTCCCTGAAACAGCACAAACACAAGCATTTTTGACAAAATGAATCTTTAGATATTAATATTAAGTTTCTGATGGGAAGATGGTACCATTGAAAACCGTGATTGCACCAAGGGCATGTCGAGTGTAGTTTCTAGCCTGAGCAGTGAACTCAAACTGGTAATAAGTCTTCCCATCAACTTCGTGCTGCATCAAAATCAAAACCACACACTTTTGAGCCTCCACTCAAATGTTTTAAGTCAAAAAAAAAGTAAACACAAGCAAGCAGACCTCTGATGCATCAATGAGTGTAGTTTTCTGATTAGGAGGAGCCAGAACTTTCTTTATCAGTGTCTCAGCGATCTGTGACCATCACACCACCATGTTCATATAGCTTCAAATCCGAGAAAAGATGATTACATTTTTCCAATCTAATGGTCATACACATTCATACATACCTGCTTCGGGGGTCCGAAGTCTTTGATAGTCTGTTTGCTAGTAGGGATCAGATTAACACTGACGCTTTCTAAAGGCTCAATCACATCTTTGTACACCTTGTCCTGACCTTCAATCACAACTTCCTGACCATACAATATACAATTCTTGTGTTATTATTGTTATATACAACAACACAAAAAAAAAAAAAGAGGACAGAGATGAATAATGATGATTTATAAAAACCTGCCAACCAAACGGATAGAGAAACGAATACGCATCCTTATTGTCGGAGACAGTGAGGAAGTTCTTTTTGCTTTCTGCAGCAACTGAGCCAAATCAATCAAATCCTCTTAGGATTACCTCAGCAGTAACAACATTTCTTTCCCTGAAATCATGAAACTAAGAGATAAAAAAGAAAAAAGGATAGAAACAAGACTTACATGATGTTGGAGCTCTACTAAGCAATGAGATCCATGGAGCAACAACGCCTAGTGTTGTTACCACCACACGCCTCTGACATTTATCTGGATAAACAAAATTACAAAACAATGTAAAATGGTTTCTTCAGGGACTCGAAGTCTCGAACCCGAATTACCCATTGAAATCAACAAGAACAAAGGCTCCAGAAGAGAAGAAAATCGCAAATCGGAAAGGTAAAAAAAGACAGACCTTGAAGATCAGAAGAGGAAGAAGAAGAAGGAGAATGCTCAGCTCGGACAAGAAATGAAACTCGTTTCCTAGAGAAAGGAACACCAACAGATCCGATGCTCTGTAATCACAGAGCCTAAGGTTATTGTTAGATATGGAAACAGACAACCGACAACAATTCACTTGGATTGGCGATTTTGAAGAGGAGAGAACCTTAGGGACGGAGAGTGGGGAAGAAGGCGAAATCTTCAGAGAAGCCATTGGCGACTTGCGGAGAAAAATAGTTGGAGATTGATAGAAAGTTCCTCGGTTTTGTTTTCTTTGTGTATGTGGTGGTAGAGACTAGAGACTAGAGAGAGAGAGAGAGAGAGAGAGAGAGAGATCTTCTCCCTCAGTTTATCCACTTTGAAACTTCCTGACCTTTTAAAAATGTTTAAAAAAAAACAAATATAAAAGTGAAATTTGCAGATAAAACCCCTCTAAATAACCGGTCTTTGTAAGATAACTCCTGAACTACCGAAAAGTGCCAAACCATCCTTCAACTTCAACAAATGGAAATTGGAGTTGTTGATAGCTTTCCGTTCCTGAGGTTATAAAGTGTGGTTACGTCCAAGTAATTGGATATGTTGAAAATCAGAAACCAAAAGGATTTTCTGTTGGTCAATTCTATTTCTATATGTTTTTTTTTGTCACCTGTTTGCTTCCTCTCAGTGTCGAGGCACTAGAGACTTTGACAGTTGGAGCAGAACAATGACTTAAAACCGAATCTGCTTTTGGTGCCTGTCAACTGCCAGTTTGGCCCATGTAGTGAACGAATGCCATTGAGTATTAAAGTATGATGACTGAGTATCATTAGCTAGGTTATGTCCTTGATAGATCATTAACACATAATTATCTGGTTTTACAAAGAAACTAAATATTACTAACAAATAAAAACAAAATTGACAAATAAAAATTAACCAAAAGTTAATAAATTTGGTATTAGATTATTCTTACCCAAGTAAATTATCTTGCTTGTCAACATAAAAAGCTCTCATGGCTTTTCCTTATTTATTAATTAGTTACAAACTTAGCAACGAACATTACACCTGCACGAAAGATATTCAGGAACTTCTTCACAAGTGCATTGAAAAGCAGTTTTCTGATCCCTCTCACGAAAAGCTGTTACGCACTCTTGATTGCGTGCTTTCATGTCACCTTTACACCTTCAAATTCGGTCCGAAAAAATGCCTACGTCTTTGCACACCTTCGTCTTCTGAGTCTCCGCCTCTATTAAATGATAAAAGAACAAGATATTTACATAAACAAGTGAATATACAACAAGCAACATAAACCATGCTTTCAGACCGAGAAATTTTATAAAATACATCTTTTGAGGTGCAAATTTTCAAAACTACACTTTTCTCCAATTTTAATATATATGTTTGGGTTCACTAATCCTATATTAGGGTTTAGATTTTGGGGTTTAGAGTTTAGATTTAAGGGTTCAATGTTAGATTTTAGGGTTTTGGATTTATATTTTAAGGATTTAGAGTT